AAAACAAGATTTGTGTGCCTTATTGTATTATTTCAAAATGTAAATTAGTAAAAAATAAATAAAAAAAGTTGTGGATGCTACATTATCTTTTGTTTACTGTAAAAAACTGCTTTCATATCGATTGTTAGTCTATTTTCAAGAGATAAATTTTGATTTACAAAGAAAAATTTAAGAATTTAAGGTTGTTCGGGCATGAGTTTTAGTGTTTCGATCGTGGTAGAACTGTGTCCTATCCTACAGCATTAGATTTAAAATCCGTTACCAACTACTTGCAACCAAAATTCTACCCATAATTCCATTTTTAGGCGATTTTTTTATTATTTTGCAACGTAATTGCATTGTCAGTACATGAGGCGTTGTTATAGTGTATGTGAATGAATAAAAATCTATAACATCGCTTTTAAAAATTTCGCCAGTAACAGTCGCAACGCTTGGCAACGTCGTATTCGCTGTCTCTTTCACCCTTACGCTTGCTACATACGTTCTCACTCAAACCTATGTAGCACCGGGCGAGAGCGTTCCTATCTGACGTCAGCGACGTTGCCATGAATCTCCAGTGCAAGCGTCAAATTTCTTGAATTCACCGATTAAAACCAATAGAACTATTTTCCTACCGACATGATCATTATGAAACATCGAGTATCATGTTTTGAAATAACGCTCCATGATATACTCATTTTTCATTGCAATCCTATCATTAGAAAATGTTCAAAATAAATTTTTAAGATACTGTGCCTTTAAGGAGTCTATACCTGTTTATAATATAGTTTACCCTCAGTTAAGATATCATTTAGAACTTTCTACGCTTGAATGCAGAAGACTAGAAAGAGCAATTGTTCCTATTTAAATTGATTAATTATTATATAGATTGTCCCTATTTATTAAGCAAGTTAAATTTTTATATTCCTAAACGAGCCGTTAGAAATTATTCTATTTTCTATCTTAAAATTCATAACACTAACTATGGTCATTTTATGTTTATTGACAGAATATGTAGAACTGCAAATAGGTTGAATTTGTCATTTTTCGGTATTTCTGTTGAAAAGTTTAGATCGCAGCTTAAATTAAGCCTGCAAACAATTTAATTTATATATTGTATCTAATATATTTATTTTATATATATTATTGTTGTGTATTTTGTATGGATTTTTTTTCCGTTAATAAAGTTTATTATTATTATTATTATTACCAATCATTATTTCGAAGGAGAAAAGAGTTAACAATCCACGTGCTGCCATAAGAACCCGTGTATTTACTCAACATTGAAATGTATTTACTCGGCTCCCAACGACAAGAATTTTTATTAAATTAAACAAGATGATGTACAGCATCATAAAGAATTTATTTGTAAATTTTTATCAAATTCTGATCATTCGACACTCACTCCAAGACAACCTTAACGGCGGTAGATTCCCAAGTTAGAAATTCTAACGGGAATTGCAATAAATACAACTGCCACTTTTTGTACCTTTAACATTTTTAATACTTTGTGATAATATTTTGCAATTATAGTAATAAAAAAGGATAAAATATTGTCTTAACATAATGATATTTTGAAGTTATTTTAATATTTTAAATTATCAATAAGTTTAATTAAAATAATAATGGGCTGCAAATGGTAAAAATTACGTCAAAAATGTTTATTGGGATGGTTACTTTATTTTCGTATAGATGTCGCTTTATACAAATATTTAATTTAATTTTTTAGATAATATTTAGTATTTGTCGTAGAAAAAGTATAGTATGCAACTCGTTTATAAACTTTTCTAGGCACTCAATTAATTAAGCACTCGCTCGCAAGCTCGTTCATGTCTAAATTAAATTCGTGACTAAAATGGCGTTTATCAAACTTAATACATAATATACTATTATGTTTATTGACTTACCAACTTGCATAATTAAAGGTTCAAAATTGCAAATTTAAAAAAAGGACTATTATTTTAAGATTGTAAAGTTTTTTTGTTGTATTTTAAAATGATTTTAAAACACTTGAATATAACGAATATATTTACTATTTATAATTTTCTCGTAGACAATTTTGGTTCGATATAATGTAATTTTAGTAAATCATTGAAGGGTATATTGCCTTAGACATTTAATGTATAAATACATAAACATGTTAAATAAAGCTTTAATTCAGCTTTAAGTAAATTTTTAAAGGCTTCCGTGACGTTTCAACCACTAGTTTTGATGAAATAATAGTTATCCTTGATTAAATTTGCGTGGCTTCCTTTTAATCAAATTCAACACACCAAAATGAATGCGTTTTAAATAATGAAGTTTTTTCAGTCATTTAACCTGTTCTTAACATTTACGTACATGCCATTAGAAGGCACGATTTGATTATTCCATTTCTTATTCATAGTTTAATACCTAGACCCATTAAAATACTAGAAAATTTAAATTGCTGGTAAATGTAACCTTATATTATGCAAACGTTTCAGTGCTAACAGAAAGTTAATTTTGATATGTTTATCTACTACTACATTTACGAGCTGAGACTATGGTATTTTAGTCACAGGCTGAAGTTAGCTTTATTATAAATTAGGGAAAAGTGACGTTAAATCCGTTGACATTTGACAGATATCAATTGTTTAACAAATAAAATTGGCTTAAAATTATTCTTTGTGTTTGTCGTAGATAAAGTATAGAATACAACTCGTTTTATAAACTTCTCTAGGCACTGTTTTTTATTAAACACTCGCTTGCCAGCTTCGCTCGTGCCTAATAAAACTCGTAAATAAAATGGCATTTATAAAATTTGATACCTCATATACTATTTTCTACTCATATTGCATATTATTGACATTATTAAGATTTTTTTCGTTTATAATGGCAACCAATATAACTGCGCCGCCTAACGGCTCGAGATCTCATCCTCGAAAATAATAATATACTTTTTCTACTCCTATTACGGAATTTGACCTTTCTAATATCACTTTTATCTATGGAATGTCATATATTCCGTAAAGTGTTACAGAATGAAATATTCTATCATCTGATGACACAATAAACACTCGTGGCGACATCTCTGTTTTCAATATCTAACAAATTTTAGACCGATCCAACCTGACTTTCTTCCAATTAAATTATTTTTCTATGGTATTTTTTGGAAACGCAGAAAAAGTATAGTCTGAAACACGTTTGGAATTGCATATTCCGCTCTCGTGAAACCGACAAACTCGCCTTCGGCTCGTGTGACAAACTCTTCACTCGAGCGGAATATGCTGTATTCCAAACTTGTTACAGAATATACTATTATTGTGATAAATAATTTATAAAAATATATCACTTACAAAACTATACCTATGTAAAATAATAAAAAATAATAAACTGTGGAATAATAAACTGTGGAATAATAAATTTATTGTAATATTAGTATCGACGACACTTTTTGGCCAATATTGGGGGAGATAAAATCTTTACTGTACGAGATGCTTATATTATTATTGGCTATTATACATTAAACAAAATTTTCTTGACAATTTTTATTTTTGGTAGGTTTTATGTCAACAAACTTTTAAAAATGTTTTAAATCTGTTGTTATGGATAGGTTTGTAATTATATTTATTTCGTAACATTATTATCAAACGCGCGTGACTATAGTCAGCTATAGCTGATACAAAAAAAACTATGAGTGATTCTGAGAGAGAAGAAAATAGACATTGAACAATAGTGGGTAATAGGACGTTTCTTTACAATATTAGAGAAATCAAAACATTGCTATGAAAAAACGTATACAACTTTTAAGAAGTGGTTTGAAAGAAGCAATAACTTAAACAAACAAGTTCTGTTAGTATATTTTGTTTAAAAAATGCAAAACTGAACTATTGTGGTTATTTTTAATATAAATATTAAAAGAAAATACCAACTTTCTGGACAAAATATACCTAATATACAGTCTGTCCACGATAAGTTGGCGGACCGAATGAATTAAGTTATTTAGTGTTGTGTGCTTTTAAAACGTATTTTGGCTCCGCCAACTTATAATGGACAAACTGTACCTATTATTTAGATAATGCGTCGGTAAGTAACTTACTTACCGACGCGTTATTCTTAGCAACGAGTTAAATCATTCAAAATATCATAGTCGTACAGAAATAAATTATTATTATCAATTGTACAATAATTTTTCATATGTTGGTATTGAATTCATTTCCAATATTGGTGGTGAAAGGTTTTGTTGACCTAGCTTCAAGTGAAAATTAATTTTAGGTATATTAAAAAACACAACCCAGGATAAGTTTAAAAAATTGTTGTTGGGTTTCTTAAAATAAATTGATATTATAATTCTAATTTTATAAAATATTCTACATTATAAATCAATTTGATTAATTTGCCAGTAACCAAAATAACATATATGACACATAGATATAGCTATATAGGTGTTACGAACTACATAGATATGTTACACACAACACCAAGGTTCCATTGAACATCTAACTTACGATGGATGATATTAAAAAGTGAAATTTATTCCATTCTATTTAATCCAAAACCTTGGGGTGGCCAAAATTCTGACACTATCACTAACAAAATCACTTAAATAAAATCGACGGTTAATCACTGTTTCGTATTGGCGATTATAATTTGTGATTGATAACATTTTTCTCCGTTGGCGGGCAGATTTTAGAAGAGTTAGAGGAATCGCTTACCTGTTGTGTGGGGGTGAGTTAGAAAAATAGCGGCGTAGGCAGTAATTTGAAGGACCGTTTGTTAGCAGCACGTTCTAACAAGTTTTGCTCTCTTGTCGTTAGTCTCAGGCAGCATCGATCGTACACAACTAGCTTTAAACCTATTACCAACACACTTAGTGTTTTCTTAAGATTAAAAAAATGTCTGCGACAATGAAAAATGCCACTCACAACACCAAACGGTCCTTTAATTAGAGTTTGAGGTTAGATCGGAGAAAGTCACGTGGAGTCGGCTTTCCGGTGGATGTATTTTTTTTAAGTTTTTATAGTTTTTTCGCCCGAAGGTCGTGAAGAAGGCGCGCGTGGTCAACAACAAGGATAGTTCTTCACCGCTTCATAGCACACTGAACCAACCACGGGGTTAACGAGTAAGAGATGAGAGCGGCGTCTACTATCGAGCACGGGCGGCAGTGTGTGGCCACGAGGGTGGCCGTTCGGCCGACGCCTGCGCCTGCCGCCGGAACGCGTGCGCTGCATGCCACCCGCCGCCGCTGGATGCATGCACCCGCCGACGTCGCCGACGCCGCACACACCTGAACACATCAACTTCATAAATCAACTCTCTTTCTCCAAACTCTGCCTCTACCTCGGCTATAGAAATTTTGCATTAATATTACCACAGCCGTTACCATTGTTACCATACTTACATCTTCATATTCAAACGCTCACATTTATCAATTACCTCCATTATTGCCTAGTCTTCTCCCTTTAATTTCTTACTGTAAATGTCTCTTTTCAATTTCTCTATAGCCTTGGCTTCTCTATAGCCACTTTCACACTTTCTTTTAGTCTACAGGATAATCGATACTTAACCCTTTATAGGTTAATCGTCTCTATGTTAACCACATCCATTACAGCTTACTTAAAAATGAGAGAGAACCCAAACTTCGACCAAAGTACAAATAAATGAACTCATAATGTGCAGTTGCTATCATTTTGGCCACAATTTAAATTTGGCAATTGTAAGAACTAATGTGGTCTCTATGTTAACCATTGCCTGTTTTCACAAAATTTCGAAAAAGTAACATTTGCAGTAATTGTTGCTGCTAGCGAGCATAAGCATGTTTGTTTTACCTGACAACACACATAATTCAAAAGGTAATTGAATGCTTTAAACTTGTGATAATAGTACTTGGAAAATAGGTTAGCGCTAACGAAATATTTAGATCGTTTTGGAACATAACCTCTACACTGTTTTTCATGACCATTTTAACACCAAATTAACACCAAACATGGTCTATATCAATACAAACCAAAATGGTGTTAAATAAGGTTCGTTGGTCCGGTGTAAATTCAAATACTAAAATGGTGTTAATTTAACTTTCACACAGTATTAAAATAAATTTTACTTGGTGTAAATTGAACTCCTTTTCAGTGTTAAATATTATGTGTTTGTGGATAAATTAAATCATACTACACAGAAAAAAGGAAAAAAAGGAAACAGGAAGTTCCTTGACGCATTACTAGTATATTACCAGTGGTATTATTCCAGAAAATGGAACCTTCAACTCGCTAGAGATAATGTTTTTAGTGCGTTGCACTAACTTAAAATACTTCAAGTATTGACAGCTGTTTCCACATATTTAAGGTCTCTTTAGTATCGAACAACTTGTAGTGTCACACCAAAGCAAAGGATAACCTGAGTTTATATATTCTTCATGTAAGTCAACAAAGGCGAGATTTAAGAACATCACGTGATCCACACCGCCTTTGCCGCGATCGGTACACATTTTCAACCATAATTTATGGTGTTATATTGACACCATTTTAAGATTACTTTTTACACCACAGATATTTTAAACAGTGTATTAAGCTCACATACCGTGAGACTATTGAATCCATGCTTATAAACGTCCAGTATTTTTTGGTTTTTTGAAAAATTGGATTCAAGTAAACTATTTTATCTAGTTGATGGTATAACCGAAGATCAGGCTATGGATTCGGAGATTGAGGGCGATAGCCCATCAAGAGTCCCCAAGTACTTTTCGTCTGAATTCACCAAGTACATCTTTATGTTTACAAGTAACTTCTGCCAATACTTCAGCACGATCCAGCCTACGTAATCGTAGTGAGCGAACATCCAGTAAACATTTCAGAAAACAAATTTTGAATAGATTTGGGGGTGAAAGTGACTCTGATGCAGATGTTCTTTCAGATGACTCAGTATCGCGATTACTCATCAGATTCAGAGAAAACTACCAGTAGTAGGTAATTTTTGAAAATTGACCAGTGAAAATAAAAATATGCGTCACAGAAATGCCACTGTAACTTACTCACAAACACAAGAGTAGGTAGAATCAAAAAATGAAGAAACTTTGAGAAATTGAAATTTACTAAAACCGTTTTCAGAGAAAAATAATGACAGTGAACAATTTGGAAATAAATATTTGATTTTTTATAGCATACACCATGTAATTATTTTACCTGGTCCTGAAAAAAAATAAAAACTAAAATCCTTTCAGAAACGCAAAAAAAACGATTAAATTAAATATGTGGTTTGCATTTAGACCACCGCCCATCTATCATCTTATGGGCAGTGGTTTCCATTTTATCCACCATGATAAATTAAAAAAAAACAGTTGGATTTTCAAAATAATCATTAAAATAACTTAAGACATCCAAAATAGGTAGATCTTACCAAAAAAAAAAAAAATAAGAATTAATGGATTCTTCCCTATAAATTTAAGTATTTGTTACGTATATGGGACTATTGTAGAAACTTTAAAGTGTTTTCATTACTAAGAACTCAATAATTGTTCCCCATTTTAGTCGTAACTTAGTAATGAAAACACTTTAAAGTTACGACTAAAATGGGGAACAATTATTGAGTTCCAAAAAGGTAACAAATATGTCACTAGCTATAAACCCTGCTACTATTTGGAACGTAGCTGCTACGTTACTAGAACGTTTCAATATCGTTGCTAGAGCGTTATAATTACTTTTATTTATTTGTTTTTACTTCTATATTAACTGTCTTTTTCAAACTTATATTAGATTATACTATCCCTCCTTTTTTAAATGGAACCACTACGGACTTGGCTTTTCAATGCCGTCGTTTATTAAATATGTATTTAAATAATTTTTTTATACAAATTTTTATTGTTTTTATTGTAAAAGAGTTTTTCAAACCAGGGGGATTACTCTTTTATTAGTTGTTGTTAAAATAAAATACGTTGTATTTTTTAGTTTTTTAAGAAGTTATAAAAGTTAGGATACGTTAACTTAACATCAAATTTAAATATATTTTACCACATAGAGGGTTTAGAAAATGTTACGCCACATACGCAATTAGTAGTAAAGTATTTAGTGCGCCTTTTCGGGTGACCCTGTAGATAAAGTTACACTTTTAAAAAATCGATAATGCTACTTTTTTTACTCCTACAAATTAAACTTACTAAAAATATTTTAAACATCATAAACGATTGCGAAAAAATCTGTTTTGTATTTGATGGATTTGTTTGCAAAAAAATTAGCTGGACATACTCGGTTGTCCAGGACAACTTGTCCCAATACTTATACGATGGCAGCTGCACGGTATTAGTCCACACATAAATTAATCTGTCTGGAAAACGACGCAATCGATATTTAATTTTGCTCGACGTATATTTTAAATTGAGCTAAAAAAGGGTTAGGTAATTGTTTTTTAACGCGTCTATGTCATTAAGTTGTTTGCATTTTTTTATGATTAAAAAAATGGGCTAACATGTTTGTTGTTATACTTTTAAAACAATATAATATAAGTATAGAAGTAACTTTTGAGTAAAAATTTAGTCGTATACATATTTGTAAGATATTCCACAAATTATGTTTTAATATTAACTAGCTAAAAAATTAAAAATTCATATAGGTAACGCGTTATAAACTGCTTCGGGATGTCAGTCAGTTTTAGAGAATTACTATTTCTGACATGTCGGTGGATTTTTTTTATTATTGTAAAAGAACCCTTAAACCCTTCTGGAATTAAAAATAATAATATACAGAGTGATTTTATTCAGAAAAATCTAATAGTCGATAGAACCAAATAAGAAGAAAAGTTTATATTAACTTGTATGCTTTAAAGATACAGGGTCTTAAAATTAATTAAAAAAAATATGTTTGCGACACTGCTTTTTTAAGAATTTAATATTATATTAGGTAAATAATATTAAATTAAGCAATTTAAAACAGTTAAAGTTTTTTGTTTCTTGCACTTTTTTTCTATCTTGCTTAATTTCAAGAAAAAAAATTTTTCCATTAATTTTTTTATCTAAAAATAATATTAAACTTATAAAAAACCAGAAGCGTACCCAAATATAATTTTTTAATATTCAGTTGTTCCGGATGTCCCAGGGCCGCCTCTAGATTACTTTATTAAATTTAATTACATGTAATTAAGTCCTCTACCCATTACCAAAACCAGAAATTTTTTTATTAAATTTGGCCAAGGAGTTTTTGTAATTTTTTAAAGAATAAATCTTTACCTTGTATCAACTTCTATTTACTAATAATTTTTTTCCATTAAAATTTGAGACAGGGTGTATATGTATAAAGTTTTATAAATATCATTTTAGTTAAGAGCGAAGCTTGCGATCGAGTAGTTAATAAAAACGAGTGTCTAGAGATTCTTTATCTACGACGATTGAACCCCACTTTTTACAATTATATTAACATCCTCAAAATTTATAATAGAGCTATTATTCCCTAAAAATGGACTTACAACCGTTTAAATCCGATATAAAAGTAGTTTTTCACAGTGAAAGTAAAGAGAATAATTTATGTGCACTCCACGGTGAAGTCTCCACCCAAAATGCTTACTGTATAGTTTACTGTTCTATATAAGACCGTGCTTCTGGCTAAATCGAAAGGTCAATACAAACTTTTTAAATATTGGCAATGCCAATTTGGCATTAAGAAACTAATTAATACTATTGAATTATTAGGATAATACAAAAAAAATTACATTTAGTAGGTATTATTTTACAGGCAGGACATATTATTATTAGATAATGCTATCTTTCCCTGGCGAAAATAAAGCGTGCACGAAAAGTGCGCAATAAGTGTGTATTTAGAGTGCAAGTCTTTATAACAAATCACATTTTATACACACTGTTAATGTACTATAAAAAGGTGTAATATAAGCGTGATAAATGGTAAATTTTTGGTTTTGCACATTGTTTCATGTTCCATTTCCCACCCTCTGCACATTGTTCTCAAATAATTTTGCACACTTTTTGCACATTTTATTTTCGCCAGGGTTAGCCCGTGACTAAAAACCAAAAGCCATAGCTTGTTAATGTGTATTTAAAAGATCACTTAGTGTCATGAAAACATGCACGTTTTAAAAGTGGATGTGGAAACATAATCTTAAAATTTAATTTAGACTATTTTTTTTTCCTTTTTATTATTGTCTGTCAGTGTTTTTATTATTGTCTGTCAGGTGTTGAATTTAACCTCTTTAGAGGATAAAACTATTGGTTGAAACTTAGTCTCTACCTGTCAATAAAAGTCCTCTTAAAATATATTTAGCCGTTTCGGAAATTAGCCCGGAAAACAA